GTCTGGTCCACCGTATCTGCAAGAAGCTGAAAATCAATGGCCTTCAACACTTATGAGTCCACCACCAGATATAAATACAACACCAACAGTTGAGTTACGAAAATACAATGTACTACATGTCATTATAAAATCATCGATTAGTGATTTATTAGCACGGTATTCGTCGCTAGACAAGATCCTCCGTATCATCGCTTATGGACTACGGTTGAGAAAATTACGGTCCTCATGTCTCCACAATTTCGCTTTAAATGCGGAAGAACTCACCCATGCGTTGTCAGCATTGATCTATTTCACGCAGCGCACTGCCTACCCTACTGAAGTTCAAAGATTGACCAAAGGATTACACATCAACTCCAAGGACCTCCGTCGCTTGGATTTGTTTATTGATTCGTTCGGTCTTGTCAGAGTGGGCGGTCGACTCACAAACGCCAATATCCCGTATGCACACAAACATCCAGTTCTCTTACCTTCGTCTCATCCATTAACTAATCTTCTCATCGACCATCATCATGTCCGGTTGTGCCATCCAGGTGCTCACACTCTGCAGACACATCTACAACAGGACTACTGGATTCAGTCTGCGCGTCGTGTTATCCGATCTCGCCTCAGGTTATGCATTCCCTGCTACAAAACTCGACCCAGGCCGGTTGAACCAAAAATGGCGGCTCTACCCAAACATCGGGTTCAACAAATCAAACCATTTGCCAGTACCGGAGTGGATTATGCCGGTCCTATATCCATCAAACAATCAAGAGGTCGATCATCTGCGTCAAGGTCAGCCTATATTTGTTTGTTTGTATGTTTAGCTACTAAAGCCTTGCACCTGGAACTCAGCTCTGACTTGACCACTGAAACCTTTCTGCAAGCCTTCACCCGTTTCATCGCACGACGGGGCCCTGTTCATGAAATGACTAGTGACTGTGGTACCAATTTCGTTGGTGCAGCACGATTACTACCTCCATTGAACACCTTCATCAATTCAGCTTCTTTTCAAGACCGAATACATCAGCAACTAGCGAACAAGGGTATACGTTGGAATTTTAATCCACCCTCCTCACCACATTTCGGCGGTCTATGGGAGGCAGGCGTCAAATCAACCAAATCATTAATTATACGGTCAATAGGTGTCCATAGATTAACCAGTGAAGAATTAATGACGTTGCTCACCCAAGTAGAGGCCACTCTAAACTCTAGGCCATTAAGTGCATTGAGTAATGACCCCTCTGATCTCTCCGCTTTAACGCCAAGTCACTTTTTGACTCTTGAACCTTCCACCAACCTGCCTGAACCCAACTTAGCGACGATTCCACTTTCCAAATTGCAGAGATGGCGTCTCATCAATGACATCCATCACCATTTCTGGACGAGATGGAGAACCGAATATCTATCCAGCTTACAAATCCGCAGCAAATGGTTGGAAAATCGTGGAGAACTGACCATTGGTGATCTAGTGCTCATCCGGGAAGCTACTCCTCCACTTCACTGGCGTCTTGGACGAATCCTGGCCCTGCACCCTGGATCAGATGGAATCTCCCGCGTTGCTACCGTCCAAACTGCTTCAGGAATCCTGACTAGGCCAGCCGTCAAGCTTTGCCCTCTACCAACTCCTTGAAGACATCCCTTCAAAGTGGGCGGTGATGTTTACGCTGTATTTTATTATGTGTGCGCTATGCGCGGAACCTGTTTTTTTGTTCGTCATTATCTTTACTGTGCGATATGCATACTACCTAATTAAAATTTAATTGTACGTTCATCGGCGGTTACACTGGTGGGTTTTCGTACCTTCTGTCACAGAACACGAGACCGACCCGGTATAATCAGTAATTTACCGGGTCTACTTTCGTGCTTCTGTCACAGAACACGGGACCGACCCGGTGTAATCTCCGATGAACCGGGTATAAAAGGCCGCACGACACGACCACCAGTATCATTCACCGTCTTTCCGACATTGTAGTAAGACCCACCACGGGCAGACTTGCGCAACTAGGAAAGGCGGCCTCCCAGCACAACTTATCGGACGGTTTGTGACTCGGTCAATGGTGTAATAGTCGGAGTTATTCTGGCATTGCA